AATATCCTTTTCCGAAGGGTCTGTCTCGTCGCTTATTTTACAGATTTGGTGTCGATTCTTGAATGCCGAGGAAAAGCATCGAAGCAAGTCAGATGTCTATCGAGTTTTCCTTAGCACGAATCCTTTTGTATGTAACCTCTTTACATTATTCATGTACTTTAGTGTATAAAAGTGGAGATATTCAAATGTGACACTGACATAAACTTTACATTATTCATGTAGGCTGAGTTTGTAAAGATCAATTTATATGACGATGCTCATGAAACCTTTTGTGAAGTCGCTGACAGAGAATTGGTAGAACAACAGTTTTATAGCGGCATTGATATGTGTACTGCAGATTTGGTCAGCTACATGGAATTGTTTGTTTTTGGTGTTTTGTATCTAATGTATTCATTTATTCTGATATCATTTCTCTTCTTATTTTACTGCAGGTATTCTTCTTGGTTGCTGATGAAACAGACAAGGATGATGTTTATATAGTTTGTTTCAACATGAAAAAGGAGAAGATAACCATCATTGATTCAAATGAAGATAAAACTAAGGTGTATGATACATGTGTTGAATATTTGGTAAGATCCTTTTTAAAGCGTGGAATACTGACTTAAGCTTGAACTTCATTGTTTATTCTTCAACTTAATCTAATATAGTTTCACTGACTTGCAGAAAAAGGGAATGTGTGAGTTTTTCAACGAAAAACAACTTGAGCAAAGAGCAAGTAAAATTTCCAACTTTCATTTTGAAATAACAAAGAAGGCATGTTATGGGAACATGGAAGGTATGGGTGTTGGTGCCATAGCCATGAGGCAATTGGAAACTTTCAAGTGGAATTTGAATACGTGGAAGATGGATTTGAACAAAAATGATGTAAGTCTTATGTCTTTTTTGTTTATAAGGTGAAATAAGATAAAATTATCACACATTTTATCTTATTTTAATTGAAGTTTAAATTTCTTGGTAGGTAAATGGATTAAGAATGCTCTGTGTCCGATATTGCTACGAAATGCTCACCTCTGATCATAATCAACTTGCCGTACAAGTGAAACGGAAAGTGGCAGAATATGGCAAGTTTATCAACTAGGATATGTGTCACACTTGGACACATACAGTGACAGTTTGATTTTTGGCCTAATGTCTGATTTGATTAAGTTTTAGCAATCTGATTTTGGGTTATTATGGTGTTGAGAAACAGGATATGATTTGTGTGGATATAGGACCAGGTTAACA